TTGCAAAGGCTAACCAGCACAAAGACAGTCTCAGTAGGCTTACTTAATAGCAATTATACTGTGAGGTCAACTGACTTTTGTCTACCAAAGTGCAAGGCATCTCAATGAATATAGTCCAATTAAAAAATGGGCAAGGGATCTGAATAGACACTTCTCCAGAGGACATTCAAATGGTCGATAGATGTCTGAAAAGATGCTTAACGTCACTAATCATTAAAGCAATGCAAATTAAAACCACTGCACACCAGTCAGAATGGCTATAATCAATAAATCAACAAACAAGTGCTGTTGAGGATGTGGAGAAAAGGGAATTCTTGTTCACCGTTGGTGGGAATGCAGATTGGATCAGCCACTGGGAAAGCAGTATGGAGTTTCGCCCCCAAATTAAAAACATAACATCTTACAATCCAGCAATTCTATTTTTGAAACTTATCTGATGAAACTAAAAACACTGATTTGGAAGAATAAATGCACTCCTATGTTCACTGCAACATTATTTACAATAGCGAAGATCTGGAAGCATCCCAAGTGCCCATAAGTAGATGAGTAGATAAAAAAGGCTGTGGAATACTACTCAGCCTTAAAAAAAGAAATCTTACCTTTTGTCACAGCTTGAAAGGACCTGGAGAACATTATCCTGAGTGAAATAAACAAGTCAGAGAAAGACAAGTACCATATGATTTCAATTATATGTGGAATCTAATGAACCAAATAAACATAATATTGGGTTGGTCAAAAAGTTCGTTTGTTTTTTTACCCCATAAGATGGCTTTAGTAGTGCTTAGTTGTCTTTAACTTCATTCAAAACAATTTCGTTAGATTGTATTGTGATAGCTATCATATCAGCATGCATTTAAAAAAATCAAAATTGGTGAATTTTTGTGTAGCCATTTTAATATTGAAGATGGAAGAAAATACATTTCAGCATATTATGCTTTATTATTTCAAGAAAGGTAAAAACACAACTGAAATACAAAACAAGAGATATGTGCAGTGTGTGGAGAAGGTGCTGTGACTGATTGAATGTGTTAAAAGTGGTTTGCGAAGTTTAGTGCTAGAAATTTCTCACTGGAAAATGCTCCACAGTCGGGTAGACAAGTTGAAGTTAATAGCAATCAAATTGAGACATTAATTGAGCACAATCAATGTGATCCATGCAGGAGATAGCTGACATACTCAAAATATCCAAATAAAGTGATTGGTGAAAATGAAAAAATATCTTTTATTTTACAGAAAAAACTATATGGACTTCTTGGCCAAACCAATACAAACAGACCCATAGAGAAAACAGACTTACAATTCTCAGCAGGGAAGGGGTTTGGTGAGTTGGGTAAAAAAGGTGAAGGGATTAAGCAAAAACTCAGATGTAACAGTATGGGAATTACCAGAGAGAAAAAGGGGTGGGGGGAGGTAGAAGAGGGTAAAGTGGTGGGGACAAATGGTGACAGGAAACTTGACTTCGGGTGGTGAACACATAATGCAATATACAGATGCTGTATTATGGAATTGTATACCAGAAACCTATATAATTTATTAACCAATGTCACCCCAGTGAGTTCAATATAAATTTTTTAAAAACTATTGGTCAATGGTTCTAATTCAGTAAATGGCTCTAGGGCTATTTATTTATGTTGAGCATGATACCTAGTGCTCAGAATCGGCAGGAGAAAGAAGAAAGTGTATAGTACAGGAGCTAGAAATCTAGTTACTTAAAACACAATCACTGAATAAATTCTGAAAACAAAAGGGAAGATTAAAAGCAAAACAAAAAAAAAATCCTTATGTTTCTATAAAAATCCTGATTGCCAAAGCAGTCTTTACCTTTAGGAGTTTGCTATAAAAGGGGACAGGCGTGTGTGCATGTAACTCTTGTTCATCTTTAGTGTCTGGTTTAAGTACCTCTGTGATTAAGAGCCAAACATCATTTTTGGTTTTTACTTCTTTTTAATATTATATCCAAACAATAGTAAGTTGCACTTAGTAGTGACTGTATATATATACATTCTTTTCTGCTTTGCTTCAATAACCCATAATTATTCAAAAATCTAATGAATTAATGTCAGTCTGATTCCAATCAAAATGACGATGTATAGAATATACTACTTTTTAGAGCCTTGTATGGATACAAGCCTCTAAAAATCAATGACTGGGTGGGGGAAGGCCAGGAATCACTTATAGGCATTTAACAAAAAAAAAAAAAAGAAAGAAAGAAAGAAAGAAAGAAAGAAAGAAAGAAAGAAAGAAAGAAAGAAAGAAAGATAAACCTCTTTGCTCTTGCTAAGGTTATGTTTCTTAAACAGTTTTCTTCATATCTGTCCCTACTTATAAAGCCCCTAATCCCACCCCACTGCACCACAACCTTTTGATCTTGAACCTTTATCAGTAAATCTCCTATTAGAAAGAGAAATTCATGCTATGCAATAGGCTTATATTTAGAATTTTAAATTAAAAAAAGTCCAAAATATATTTTGTAATTAGCTAAGTCTTTTGGCTAAAGAACATTCATCCCCAGAACATTTCCATTCAAGAGACATTCTGCATTCCACTGGTTTTCCTTTCTCATCGTATCATATGGTCACTGATAGCCATACACAAATAGTAAAAATCAAGAGCAGAATAAATAATATGCTTTTAACCTCGGTAGTGATTTACATAAAATTCGGCATTCTTGTGTACTAAACCTTTTCAACACCAGTATCATACAATCAATGTTTTCAGATTGTCTAAGGTTTAATGCGACCATCAGTTTAAAATGTGTCAGGACATCAAGGTAACAAATACCCATGTAACATATATTGCTAATGATTTTCTCATTTATAAAAACATGATCTTTTTACAAATGATATAGGAACCCAGCCTCCTTCATTGACATAATAAAAAGAATTCATCTTGGAAAAAAGTGAAAAATCCAGTGCTTTAATACCACAAATTCATTCATTCCTAATGATATTCTATCTTTCATTAATCCTCAGAGTAGAAGATCTACAAAGAGTTGGGATTCAAAGTACATGTGAATTTCAACACTTTGGTATTTATTTTCTTTCCCATTTACTTGCTTATTAACTGATCTCCAACAAAACTCTTTCAAAAAGACCTTTAGTAAAGCCTCTGAAAGAACTTCATTGCTGGAATTGTTATTAATTATTGTTATTACATGAAAAATAAACCAGTGACAGCAAGTGTTCAATTTCACAAAATGAATCATTAGCAGTCTGGAGAGAATCTATGGAGAGAATCTAAGACTAATTCAGGACAGTCCACTTGATCACAAATAACAAGGGTAAACAATCTTTTCCAAGTGTCACTATACCCTAACACCCATTTTCTCTCCCCAAAATATTTTCACAGGGTCATATCAGCTATGTCCGTTAACTGAGTCTCCTGTGATGTAGCAAAGAGAAAATTGTGATATAGCAAAGATAAAATCAGACCCTTACCATGGCTGCTAAGTTTAGTGGCTACTGTTGCTTTTCCTTCTAAGCTCTCTGCTGCTTTTAATACATACCTGTTCTGCCTGGGGACAATCTAAAGGCTGCTGTTTTTCTAAGAGGTATCAGCCTCTCTGTTGCTCTGGTGTATGAGAGTGTGGGAGGGGATACTGCAGGGGAGTAGTAAATACATTGATAAGTCTCAGGTTTATTGGTAGCAGCATACAGATGAGAGTGAACTTTAAGCTATGAATAGAATTCCTTCCAGCCATTTCTTTTCAAAAAGGAATTTTGTGTGCCTTACAGAAATAAAATCCTTAAGTAATTCAAGAAAGCTTGAAAATCAGAAAATAGAAGATAATAACTCCAATTTATTGACCAGCGTTCAAAAAAAAAATTTCCAGAGTATTAAAGTATTCAGGCAGACTCTGAAATATACAGCTGTCACAATGAAATCATTTTAGAGCAAAATGTGCTGCAATATGCTACTATGATTAAAAGCTATGTAATCTGGGGAACCTCTCTAAGAAAAACAACTAGGCAAATAGCTTTTTACATACTTCTCTAACAGGGAAAGGCTGTAATATTATCATACAGTTACACAAAGGTAGGTATGTCTTCCATCTTTACCTGGTACTAAAACATTTTCATCCATAAATATTTAATTACATTAAAAGAAACCACACACGGTTTAATGCCAAGAATAAACTTATTTTATGATACTATTACAAGTGTTTTAATTCTGAATCTATCGTAACACATATGAAGGGTAATCAATTAGCACACTCTTTAAGCAGAAGATACTCTTACAGCTTTCCTTGTACTTTTTTATTTACTTTTTTTTAAGTGTACAAATATCACCAGGACAATTGAGAGAATTAGGAACAGCAATGAAGTACACCATATGTTCGTACTGTAGGCTAAGTCCCGGTCTTTGTTCCAATATGCTATAGCCACTGGAAGGAAAGCTAAGTACCCATCTATTAAAACATATTTTTACATTATTGCTAGCAAAAGTTACACTTCCGATAGGTTTAGTCATCTTGATTTTTCCTGCCTGCATTTGCTTCTGTAATACAGATAGATCTGTTTCAATTCTAGGAACCTGCAGTACAACCACCCTGGAAAACAGGTCGGTAGCGGGATAATCTGATAAAACAACGTAAATGGTAGACATTGAAGAATAAGAAGTTATTTTCCCACTTAAAGAGTTCTGAAGTAATTCTGTATCAACGTAATTTTTTGTAACCAGCTACACACCTATCCAGATAACATTCACCTTTTTCTCAATTAACGTTAACAGAATTTCCCTCAATCTTAGGATCTCCCAAAACAGTTTCCAAGGCACAACTCAAACCAAAAACACTACCACACCCTTTACATAGTCAGGCCACCTTTTCTTCCGGCCCCCCGCCCCTAAAGTCCAAAAATGTACATTGCACCTAAAGGGGTTTGCACCAGTTCTCTAACCCGAGTCAGAGACTCTTTATAGCCGTGCCTAGATATAATTCTTATTGGAAGATGTTTTCTCCGGGTCAATGTACAGACGCCAGAAGAGACACCCACGCTTACCTCCCACACACCTGCAACCCCTGGCGGGATGCGGGAGCTGATGCTCAGACGACTGCGCTCCGCTCCCGTTTCTGCTCTCCTCTCCCGGGAAACTACAGTCCAGGCTGCGCCTTCAGCAGCTACAGAACAAAAGCTCCGCCTCTCCCTTCTCTAGTTGGCGAATTCAGCAGCTGTTGCTCCTCCCCCTACTTGTTCCCGCCGCTGCCGGAGCTAGAGGCGGCGGGAAGCTGCAGCCCGTACGTTCCTGAAGCCTGCACTCCTGCAGCTGTTCTGCCGCTTCCCTTTCCCTGGGGAACCCTCAGCTCTCACTCCGTGGCCTCAACACCTGAAGCTGCCTCACGCCCCGCCCGAGTCCCTCCGCGAGGAGCACGGACTAAACCTATCCTACCCGACTCCCAAGTCTGGCCGCCCGATCTGCCCGGGACTCCGCCACCTTCGTGAAAGCTGCTTCTCTAGCCATGGAACATTCCCTACACTGCACCCTCCCTCCGTCTCGGCATTTTCCCCAATACATTCATTCCGCCCGCGTCCACGGCTCAGCAGCTCCACGATCCCGAACTCGATCTCTCCCCTCCACCCCATTTCCCTTCCTCCCGCCCCCACAACGGGTGAGTCGCCCCGGGGCCGACCCCGCACCCTGATTGGCGCAGGTGAGAGCTGACCCCTCCCTTCCTCTTCTTTCAGTGCACCCTCACTCTTCATTTCACCTCCTCCCGCAAAGGCAGGGAACTCTCGCACTATTGGCTAGAAGTGTCCCCACCCATCGCTGTAGGCTCAACCGCGCGTCCTGTCGGGAACTGTAGTCTCGCTTGTGCAGGAATTGCCGACCACGCCGGCGAATGGGACTACGAGTCCCCATAGGCCTCTGCGCACTCCGGCTGAGCAGGATTCCGGACAACGCCTGGTTCCTCTCGGGTCCTTCCGGCGTCGCCGGAGTGAATTGATACGAGTTGAAGAGGGCTCCAAGGTGCGAAGTGAAGTCAGTGCCTCAGTAGCCGGTAAGGTGTGGCTTGTCTGTCCGAGTCCCTGTAACCCTGCACGGAGCACAAGAGGTTTGGGGTCACACTAGGACCGTGGCTGAGACACTCCGGCTTAGTTCTGGCAGGCGGAGCGGACTGGGCTGGGAACGGGGCCCTGTGGGCGTAAGCGAGGTTATCCTACGCGAGTGGCGTAAAGCGGGTTTGTAAATGCCTCCTGCCTTGCTCGGCCCGACCGCCTCCAGGAAGTCTTCTCTAGGTAGGGGTTGGAGGGGAAGGGCGAGGTTGGCCTCTGGTGTCCCCGGAGAAGGGAGAGGGCGGATGTGCCTGGGGTGGGGTCCTCTGAAGGTGTGGCTCGGGGTGGCGGGGTTGGGGGGGGGATGTTTTTCCCTGCTTTACAAGTTCCATAGTGAAGGAAGGGAAGGACGTTTGGGAGTCTGTTCTTGCGGTGACTCAGATTCTGTCCTTTGAAGAATAAGAACTGTAGATGGAAGACTCAAATGTTGACAGATCTACTGATCCAGTTCCAGTTTCGTGCTGTGGATCCTCTAAGGAGATCATTTTGCCACAAGCAGAAAACCTTAACCCTCTTAGTTGTAATTCCTAAGATAGGTGTATACCTTAAATGTTTCCAAAGAGCATTCACTTTGGCCTGCTGATGAGGAAACTGAGGGGATAAATGACATGCCCAAGGTCACACACCGAGGGACAGATCTTCTGAATTTAATCTTTGTAATCCGGTTTCTGAAACAGCACCAGAGAGTTGGTTGTGTTTTTTGAGCAAAGTGGAAAAAGTTGCAAAGTAATACATTTTATGTATTTTTAAGAAGCCATTTTTGAGGTGCGGACTTTCTGAACTCTGGAGAAATTCTTCCATTTAAAAGAAAAGGACACATTCTAACCTTTTAGAAACGTGAGGAAATAATCCGTTTCAGTTTACAAATTGTTCTCTTTCATTAGGTGTATATTAAGTGATGGACTGTATAGCTACTTTAAATGGTAGATGATGACATAGGAGAACGTCAGTTAAAACAGTATGTTCCATCCCTTAAAAGACAATTAATTTTTCCTTTCTACCTTAGGACTGCCCCCCCCCCCCCCATTGTGTAAAACTAATAATGGGATTGAAACTCTGCAAAACTTATTTTGCAATTTTTTTCGAATAATACAGCATCAAGAGAGTTTAGTGTGATCGTTACTAGAAAAGAAGATACATTGCATATATTGGCGGTAATATCACATTTTTATTGATTGTTTTAAAAAACTTTCCCCTTCGTTTTCTTGACTGGGGTGTTTGTGTGAATAACATGAGGCTTGCGCATATTTTCTTTTCCCTGATGTCACCTGTGATTTTTCACTTATCCTTAATTTAAATTAAAGAATGGGAAGATGGGACATTTATGTTTTATATTGAGTAGAAAGTAGTGTGCTTGTTCCAGTCTTATCCTATATAAATTTGTTATTATCACCAATTATAGTTCATGAGTATTAGTGGGTAGTTCTTTAATTAAATTTTGGATATATTCTTTGACATCAGAATTTGTTCGTGGTAAGTTTATAAACAAGAATCAGGTCTCCAGTAATAGCAGGCAATGAGTCATAGTTTACTGTTGTATAAGTTGACCATTGAAATATGCTGCATTGTGAATGTACTTTGCAGTTGTTAATACTATCACTTACTTTTTGAATGCAGAAACATTTTGTAGGATAAGAGGTATTATGTTCCCCTATGGATTGAAGTTAAGATAGTCTGGAAATTAATATGGCACTTAAAATGGGAGGGAGAGAGGTATGATACTGTAGAATGAAGTAAAATCAGGAATAATATAATGCCATGAGTAATGCAGTACACAAGGAAGGAAGACCAACTAAACAAATGGAAAATTATGTGGAGGGGAACTGGTTTTGTGCTATTACAGAAGTGTGATAGTTTAAGTATATTATAAGCTGAAAATAAGTGAGTGATCATAAAGCAAGAATACTCATATTTTGTAGATGGCAGTATAGGCATTACTTTTTGTTGGGGAAAGTATGAAATGAGTTTTTCTGCCTTTTGCCATGTAGCTCTGAATTAAAAGGAGCATTTGGAAATGCAGTTAATCAATTAACATAATGCACTTGTTCAGCACCTGTTATTTTTTGTCCTTGGCTCAGTTCTGCCACTAACTTCTTTTCATTTCTGAGGCCCGGTTTTAATTTTACCTATGTTGCAGTGGTGGAGTAACATTTCTGTTTCATTTATTACCTTTCAGTCTCATGCTGGAGTACTGGACTCATTTTGGATATCTGCATATTTAAAAATTGAAGGTTCACAGGGTTATGTGTGCACTTATATTTTTATAGTGGTTCTGCAGGACCCTCCCATCAGCCTTTGAACATCATCTCTTTCAGGACTTTGGATTTCTCCCATATAGTTACATCACTTTCTTTTTAAGGGTATAAGGTTATGAGAACAGGACTGTATATTATCATTGTATTTTCAGTAGGTAAATTATTGAGTACCTGTTTACAAAGAGAATAAAGAGGTTCAGATTGGTTAAGTGCAAGGGCATGTAACTGGTCACTGGTGGGTACAATACATTATTCATGTCTTCCTTCTCCAGATCTTGAGTATTGTAGTCTCAGTTCCCTTAGATTACTTATTTTACATGAGAAAAAGACTCCAAATGACTTAAATGTTCAGATACGTTACATTCTTACTCTGTTTTATGTTGACAACTTGTCTTTCCTCTTCTATCCAGCTCTCTATCCTTATCCCCAGCCTTTCGCATTTACTCTGCCTTCAGTTACTCTATACATAAACTCCAGTTACTCTATACATAAACTCCTCCTTGACCCCTGGGGCCTTTGAGCATGTTCTGTTCCCCCTACCTGTACTGCTTCCCCTCACCTTCCCAAATACCAGCAACTTCTAGTTAATTTTCAAGTCTCAGTTAAAATATCATTTGTCAGGGGAATCTTTCCTGAACTCTTTGAACCCTCTTTCCTAAAATTAGAGTAAGTTTCCACAATACCTTCACCACATACTTCTCTTTTATGGCATCATCACAGTAGGAACCTAACGGTTCTGTACTAGATTAATAAGCTACCTGGGGAGGGCCCTATCTTTTGTCCCGTGTCTTCACTATTTACACAGTATCTGGCACAAAGTAAATGCCCAGTAAATATTTGCTGAATGAATGAATAAATGATTGATTGAATGAATGAGTGCATTCATGCACAATGTCTCCAGCCCTGTGCTAGGGATAGAAATACAGAAATGGGTAAAACAGATACGTTTTCCACCCTTAGATAAGAAGTTGTTGAAAGAAATTTAATATAAATTGTAAAGAGATGTTCTTGGGGGTCTCTAAAATCAGGATAGTTTTCTATGAGCAAATGGCATAGAAGTCATTTTCTTTTTCTTTTTTTTTATAGTTTATTTATTTATTTTTAGAGAGAGGGGAAGGAGAGAAACACCGCTGCCCCCTACAACCCAGGCATGTGCCCTAACTGGGAATCGAACTGGGCGACCCTTTGGTTTGCAGGCCTGTGCTTAGTGAGGTACACCAGCCAGGCAAAAGTCATTTTTCTATTACAGCAAACTTTCTGTATTACAGCATTTTGGAGAACTTGTCACTATCCTGTTTTTTTGCAAGCAACATTCATTATAACAAAATTAGACATTTAAGAAACTAACTTTTAATGGATTCTGTTCCTTCCCAATGTTATCTATTTCACCCTCAACAAAATCTGTTTCCTTTTTACTTTGTTGATTCATTTTGATTTTTAAGGATGGCATCTTCCTTTGAATCTTACCTTTAATATTACCTGCTTTACACAGGTGCCTTTCTAAAATTGAGTACTGCTTGTTTCAAAGGAACTTCTATTTTGGGCTTCTTGAAAAATTTCATATTTCATTGGGTTATGATAATATTTTATTTGCTTTCAACCTAGATACTTCCTAAAGTAAAGAGATCATTTTAAAAACATGAAAACTATATTTCAGGAATAAACCGCATTCGATTTTGTTTCTAAAAAATTCTCTGATCTTTTGCAGAACTGTAGTAATGGCATAGAATGAATTCAACAGCTCTGTGTTGCTGTAGACTTATATGCTTTCATGAATTTGCCAATTGATTCTCCCACAATATATTGTCAAAAAAGTAATGGCTTTAAAATTTGATAATACTCCCAGTTTTTATTACTAAATATAAGTCTTTGATAAGTCCTAAATTTACTTTTTTAAAAGTCAGTCCTGTTATTGGGATCTTGGATAAAAAAATTTTATATTAACCTATCGTAATCAGTAATGGAGAATAAAACTGAAGTACTTCTTATATGTTGTTGGCTTTTTAGGGTCATAATGATAGGTGGTGTTACCAAGAATTTAAAGTTAGTTTCATGAAAAATAATTTTTTCTCCATAATATAAACTGTACACGTGATTTGGAAGTTAGTGTGATTGATTGTGTATGTTATTGCACTTGAAATATTTTTTAATTGATTTTTAGAGAAAGAAGGAGAGGGGAGGGGACGGAGGGAGGGAGGAAGAGAGAAGGAGAAAGATCGATTTGTTCCACCTATCTGTGCATTCATGGATTGGTGATTGTATGTGCCCTGGCTGGGTATTGAACCTTCAATCTTGGCGTTACCAGGAATACACTCTAACTAACGGAGCTGCTCGGCCAGGGACTGCATTTGAAATGTTAGAGAGTTGCATCTTAGAAATGTATGTATTAGGAATACACACAAAGTGTAAAAAATGAAAGCACCTTTATTGCAGTGATTAGAAATAATTTATTTGCAGAAAGGTAAACAATGTAGTTTGGATGCCCATTTTTTGTATGAAGATGAAAAATTCAGTTTTCTCATTTTACATACAAAATTAATTTCATCTTGGATGTATTGTAATGTCACTATCCTGTTGTTTTTTTTTAAGGTCACCCTTACATTTTTGCATGGGTAGTCTTTTTGTATAACCATCTAAAAAGTTAATTGGATCCATTCAGTCTCCTGACTCCCTCTGCAGTTGCCTAGAATCATGTGTTGTTATTTAAAAGGAAGGAAGGAAATTAGGGATTTTTTTTTAAGATATTTTAAATTTATTTATTTTTAGAGAGGGAAGGGAGGGAGAAAGACAGAGAGAGAGAGAAACATCAGTGTGTGGTTGCTGGGGGTCATGGCCTGCAACCCAGGCATGTACCCTGACTGGGAATCGAACCTGCGACACTGGCTCGCAGCCCGTACTCAATCCACTGAGCTACGCCAGCCAGGGCTA